ATACCACAGTGACACCCTTTTGGAAGTCCGTTGATGTTATACCACAGTGACACCCTTTTGGAAGTCCGTTGATGTTATACCACAGTGACACCCTTTTGGAAGTCCGTTGATGTTATACCACAGTGACACCCTTTTGGAAGTCCATTGATTTTTCATTACTATGCTGATTTGCTGCTGATGATACTGTAGTAATGAAACAAGTGATCCTGCCCTCATAATGGTCTGAGTCTTAGCCCCATAGAAACACTCGGGGAGAGGGGAACACTATAGCTTGCAATCAAAGGGGTTAGCACATATGTGTGTGTGAATGCATTTGTTAATGTGCTGCTGAGTTCATTTTTTGTGTTCCAGAGTCTAGCTGCAGGTGCCGGCCCCACCCCACTCCATGATCGCCTCAGTGCCTTACCCCTCTGGCTCAGCTTACAAAGTCTGGGTCACAGTGGTGTTGTGGCCAAACTCAAGAGTGCTACGGAGCTAGTGAGTCAATACTCATTTTGGTTTTATGCTTTGCAAAAAAATTCCCTGCCAGTGATTGTTGGAATTGTTTTCATTCTGCTGATAAATTTTAATAGGTCTCTCTCAAATGACATAACTTCCTACAGATTGCCACATGCATCTGTCGTTTGGACTTTAAATTTTTTTGACGCTCATCGGCTTTAAATTTTTTTGACGCTCATCGGCTTTTGATGTATTTGATATTTGGAGTAACACGTGCACTTGTATAAAGCATTTGCACATTACACGCACATGCACCTGATGACGTTGAATAGGCAGTTGTAATTATATGTGTACATATGTGCATGGGAAATTACACCTATTCATTTTAAGAAGCTTCAGTATCTGCTGCATTATGTTGGAGGTGAGCTGCTGTGCTGTCTAAGAAATGTCACAATAAGAAATTGTCCTGAGTGGAAGCACCCCCTCATCACCAAATAAGAAAGAGGCTATTGGGGACAATTTCAACCAGGCACCGAGGCACTGTTGAAGACAGAATTCTGACAGAATTACAGGTGTTGATGCATGCTCAGTGCACATGTGGTGTCTCCCCCCAAATATTACACAAAACACACCATATCTTGTGGATGCACAGAGCAGACAGTAATCTGGTGATAATTGTTTGGGTGCCCACTGCTGTCATCCACTGTGACACACTCCTAGATGTATTCTAATGGGTTTCTCTCCACTTTGTCCACCAGAGTCAACACATGCAGCAACGACTCAACTCACTAGGATCTATCAATTTATCAGTAAGTGAGCGGGCTCATTTCATGAGGTGATCAATTTATTACATTTTCTGTATCCATTATATTGTTCCTGCTCCAAAATCAGTAAAAAAGAAACCTTAGTTGAGAATTGCAGAATATTAGGATTAAAGTTTCAATATAAGTTTTAAATATTTCTCTAATTGAATTCTTTATATCGTACTTAATATCAACAGAATCACTCAGTAACTTACCCATCTAATTCTTGTTGTTCTGTTCCTTTGCTTCCAAAGCCTGGGAAAAGTACCAACCAAATCACAATGGAAGGCTCCCTGAAGGAAATTTTCACGAGGACAATACAAGTACTTGTAAGTTACGATTTATGAGCTAACTCTGTCATATTGTTCATTGTACACAATGGAACGTCAAGCAGGGGAGTGTGGTCCAGTATGTAGGGTTTGGGACTCACTGTGACACAGTTAGGGGTTCGAATCCAGCTGCTGGCTATACACACAGTCAATTTGTGTTGCAACAAAGACCAGAAAATTAATTTGTTATAACCAGACCTTTGCTATAATAGAATGGAAGAAGAAAGAAAACACATGAATTCAAGATAAAGGGATTCTCAGAATTTGCACTCTAAAACAGTATTAGGAAAGTTAACTATATTGTGTCCTTTGGCAAGTCGTGTGACCCTCGCTTGCCTCTCTACACCATGGGATTTAAATTGGTACTGACATTTGCAAGGGAGCTAACCTATGATGGACTAGCATCCTATCCAGTGATAACAGAAATATCACGCATTCACAATTGTAAATTCTGTTACTGAATCCAGAGATTAGCCTGATTGGCAGCATTGGCACAGGACTTCAACATGTATGTCAATCCACTCATAAAATCGCCCATCAAACTCTTAATGACTCAATACGCCAATATCTTTCTCTACCCCACATATTATACAAAAATATTGATTGCTTGGAGTGGTACAGTAAAACTAGCCTCCGGAGGTGATCCGTGGAGCATTCTATTTGCCCGAGGCATTTGTTTTATAACACCTCCCCACAGATTCTGCCGAATTTAAGCTAAAAATCAATAATAAAACACAAAATTGGAATTTACATTCATCAAATTTAAGTCAAGAATTCCAAGCGGAACAGCAACACTTGAATACATGAATTCATTAACTGATGTTGTTCGCTACGAGCCGAAATACACGCCTATGCTCTCACTGCTACGGATATAGTTCTTTGGTTGCTACAGGTAAAGTTATTTTTCAGAATGAGGCTGCATGGTATAGTCTTTCTGAAGCGGTGGTATAAAAGTAGTAAAACTAGCAGACGTCACATGACACACTTTTGGCCAATCAAGATACAGAACCTGTGGGTGAGGTGTTATAAAAACGGATGTACGTGTACATGTACCATGTAAACCTGTTCTGGAATGTCCACAAGAAATCTGGTTCATGTTATTTTGTCCAGGCCCAAGCTGATGTTGTCTCAACCGTGGTGGTATTCAAGTACGGTGACCGACAGGAGGGTCCAGATCCAGATGTTGGATCATACACTGATGGTGCAGAGGACCGGCCAGTCAGTAGTCTACCAGGTCCACTCCTAGATGCCTTTAATTCATGGGTACGTGTAAGACTTTAATCTAAAGAGATACCATTTGCTTTGGTGGCATCACACATTTGTACACATACTTAAAACTTGAAATGCACGTACCTGTCAGTTGCTTCTTACCAATGCGCCTCACAGTCCCACTCAAATGACCCTAGTCTGATCTAATATGTGCAGTCTCTTAATACCCATCCTCTCCAGCATTGAAAGGGACTTGATCGTTAAATTAAAGGAGTGAGGGGCTTTGCTTCTCAAGTGTGGACTGACCAATTGTTCGTCTTAAGGGCCTGGAGGGGAACTGTACCCTTAGCAAAGAGATGATGGACTGTTTGGCAGTGGCATGCACTGACGTAACGATCATAAAGTTGTTTCTCCATTTGTCGCACAGCTTGGAGGTGAGCTGAACAGACAGAATTTGCGAGTAGCAGTGGATGTCGTCAACTTGGATAAAGACGGCGTCTGTTTGCGGTTCAGCCCTCTGCAGTCAGCATCATGTAAGTCACTATTAACATCTGTAAAAAAAGAAGCCATACAATTGTTTTGTTTTAAACAGAGTTGTGATAGAACTGTAATGTATCAGGTTTAAATGAAGAAGTAGGGAGAACTCTTACTTCAAGTGCATAATTCAAATCTTATTCCAATTTCAAAGGAATTGTCTCTCTTTTTCAACTTGGTTTTGTTTACTTGTTTTATTGCTGTAGACAGAGGAACAACTGCTGATGACATCGACAATTTTATGGAGTGTCTCAAAATTCTCATTGTAAGTCGATTCATTAACCTATACAAGATTAAAATTATGTGACATTCATGCAAATCGTGGAGGGGACATTTTAAGAATTTAATGTACAGCTAAATTACGGCATAATTATTTAGATATTTTTCTTTTAGCAACAGCATGGCTGGAGGTTATTACACATGGAATGCACATGATGTCCTGTTTGTGGTCTTGGGTAAGGGAGGTCTCAAATACAACACTGCCATGCACTGTAGTTGGAGTGCGTCAATGGATTGAATTCAACTGCAGAGTTGCTCTCATTCATCTTGTGCAGGAACACTTGAACTTCACCTGCGAGCATCGGCTGGAGTTCCAGGAAGCTGTGGAGTCCAGGGAGAATCTTCTCTTTGTGGACATGGTCTCACACGGTGGCCTAGGTGTTGTGCAGTAAGTCATGTTGCCAAATGAAAAATGGCTTCCTTAGCTTAGCAACATGTGGATTACTTCTTGGAAATTAAGCACCATTATGGAAAGTTCAAGACTAGTTCGTGTATGTGTCCCCAGTGGTAAATGTTTCTTTCATTCTGTACCCTGCATTTATAGAAACAGTGTGTCCTTTTTTGAAGCCAGATGGGAAACACCTGTTAATCCATGATCTGGAATTACCCATCATAGCACAAGATCAATCTACTGTCAGTTATAATCGAGTCAGTCACAAGTCCGTCACGAGTCATTCAGTCTCAAGTCAACTCACAAGCTATTTCAGTGAACTGTGACAAAGCCATTCCTTTGTCATTGATCATTTCTGACCTGCTATGAGAACTTAACCTTCAAATTGACTTGTGGACTGATTTGTGACTGACTCAATTCTAACTCTTACTGCATCAACCCTAACCCTGCCAGATGCAGCAGGGTGCAACAGGTGGAGAAGTCTAGTGCACACTGTCACATCGGGCAAGCAACAGCAAACGAACACACTGGCCATGTTGAGACAATGGGAGTTAGTCCCGTTCAACAATGCCTCTGTTGAATCTTGTGGTGACTGGCAACCACAGACTCCCAGGCTGTTTGACCTTGGGGAGAGTTGACCTGTTGGATCTCGTTACACTTGGCAGGCAAGCCACTTTGACAAATGATGCAGACCAATGTGTCTGGCAGGGTTCCTAGCCAAAGTACGCCGGAGAGTTGGGGTTAATTCCATTTTACATGAGTTTTACATGAGTTTAAAAAATGCAAAACTTGTACTTGAAGGTTTCATTCTGTATCTCTTGTAAAACAAGGTCTTTGGCTGTAGGCGTTTTGATGCTGTGGTTTGGTGTGATAAATTTGGACATTTTTATTTATGTATTTGGTAATGAAACTAAGGATTCCTCAAAAGTGCTCTAGGTACTGTAGCTCGAAAGCCTGAAGAGACCTGTAGAGAGGAGACAATAAGACGTTACAGTTTTAGTGGTGGGAAGAAAACCCCAGAAGAATATTCTGGGTAAAACCCACAAAATCAGGCAGGACTGGAAACCAAGTCAACATGTATACCGGGCTGGGAATCGAACCCGGGACCACAGAGGTGGAAGGCGAGGAGAGAACCCCCGACAACCCAACATTCGACTTTACTGTTCCAGGTTCATCCCAGAGTATGTGGTGGCCAGTAAGAACAAGGAGACAGCAGCCAAGGAGTTGGACAAGATCAACACGGAGATTGTCCAGCGGCTGCAAGCAGGGGAGAATGGTAGCTGCATCTGTGAGGTGCGGACGTCAGCAGGCACAATAGCTGTCGGCGTAGGGATCGTCACTGAGGGGATCAGTATCGACGATGTGGTAGATGTAGTCTGGTCCACTGGCAAGGAACTAGAAGACTCCTCCAAGGTAACGCCTTGTTTCAGGACAGTTGTGATCATGCTTTCATTCTCAAACTAAACTTAATATTTGCATAGACACCTCTTCAGGTTACATCAATTATCTCATATCTCCTTTGATCTTTCCTCCATGTCACTCCACTGTTAGGCAAAGACATTTGCGCACTTTACTCTGCACAATTTTTTGTAACATCTTGTGTGTTTCACAAATGCCCCTCTTTGTATGTTTTTGCATTAGTGACTTGGTGGTAATTTTGTCTCAAATTTTAAAACTTGTTGTATATGTTTATTGGGACGCACTGTTCTTTGCAAATTACTTGGATCGTCTTTTTTGTGATTTTTCTAAATCTAGTTCCTGGAGTCAATGGCAGATGTTGTACTGAAAGGTATCCAAGATGCACAGAAAGAGCTGGAGAAAGAAAATGAGAACAGACTCATGGAAGAGGTATGCACATTCTCAGAAAAATAAAAATTCTACAAGCAAGTCCGAGACACTCCAGAAATTGTAATGATAGTTGTGGGTGCTAATCATAACAAAGGGAATGATTGTCTCTGCAGTATTTGACATAAACCTTTTGTTCTTTATCATTTGCCTGGTAGGTCTTTACCATGCAGGGAGGTCTTCTTTTTTAAACAAGGAATATGTCCAAAAGGGTGCTCTTCTTAAACTCACTTGTGGAGTAAAAAAAAAAAGTCAGTGAAATTGCTCACAGTGTCTCACTTTATTCCCCACAGGGTGTGTTTCGGCAAGTGCCCATTGTCTCCTCACTCTTGAACTGGTTCTCCCCGCCTCCCAAGGAGGCAACCATCAAAGGGAGATCCCTCAATCTGACCTCAGGTAAGAACTGTATCAAATGAAGCCCCAAAAATGTACGGGTAGATTCAGGCATGCCTGTCAAAGAGCTCTCACCTCCCAGCATCTGACATAGCTTGCTTCTCATTCATTGTGTCAGGAATTGTTTTATTTTCTCTTAACCCTAACCGCCAAACATATTGTTTGGCTTACAGTACTCAGTACTACAAAATGCTAAGTAATAGTCTGAGCCTTAAGGACCTAGCGCTACAGATTACTACTTCTGACTAGGTTACTTCCATTGTTACTCGTACAGAGAACAATAAAGCCATGCATTCATAGTGCCACAGCACTGTATGGTACATTGTCTTATCTATTGTATTTTATGGCTTCAGAGAATAATACGGTCATGTCCTGTTACAAGCGGCGGCGCTGATTACGACATTTTACTACAAGTAGTAATTTGTAGTATTATGTCGGGTTAGGGTTAATGTTTGTGTTAATCCATCTGAAGCATTGGCCTAGGCTTCCATACCTAATTATAATTTCAACTGTTACATGTTTTGACTACTGTATCCATTTATTTAATTTATTCATGTATTCTTTGCTGGTATGCTGCACATACACCAGATATTCATTGGACAGTGTCGTCTTGAAGATGTCTGATAATGATTATGTTTACCCATGAACTAGGTGCTCTGGAGAGCACAGAGACAACCTACAAGCTCCACATGCAGGTGCAGAAGGACGGTGGGGCCACCCCCACCAAGAAGACGGCACCCCGCAAGGCCCCCTCGACGCCGTCTACACCCCTGACGCCTAACTCCATCCAGGGCTCGTCCCACTTTGGCGGCGGGACTCCCGAGGAAGGGGGTTCTGTCCAAGGGGGAGGGGAGGGGGAGGAGGAAGCCCCACGGCGGGTGCAGAAGAGGGACCTGGAGGAGGCACAGCCCCAGCCAGGAATGGACGGGAGCAACAGCAGCTCAGCAACCACCACGAGGTGAGACAGAGAACCCCAGGCAGTGAGAAGGGTTAGAGTACGGGAATAGAGTTATCTGTGGGGGGAAGGGGATGGGGCAACTTCCTACAACTTTCAAGCTCAGAGTTTTTCCCTGAAATTTGCTCACTGGCAAAAAATACGGTCTCCCAAAGAGTTTCTCATTGTAACTGGTTGTCAGCTGAATTTTATGAAGTGAATGTTGGCCAAGAAATACCTGCTTGGCAGTTGTGTGAAATTTTGTCAAAGGATTTGACATTTGTCTCATTAGGGGAGCCAGGTTTAGTGGAGGGCTGCTTACCGTGCCTTCCACCTCTGCACCATGGGTTCAAATCCCGCCTGGGTTGAGAGGTGGATTAGGTTTCCAGTCCTTACCTGGTTCCGTGGGTTCTTCGTGTAATATTTATCTTGGCTTTTCCTCCCACCTCCATAACTGAACAAGTTGCTTATCTTATCACTTACAGTTGTGATTTATGCAAGTTTGTCTATTTTCTTTTTTACCTCGTTCAAGACGGTCCATTGAAATCATCTGAGAAGTAACGCGACCACCATCAGTAGAGTTACTAGGACTCCATGCTTTGCAAATAGGGTGGCTCTCTGTTTTTCAATTATGAAATTTTGGGTGTGTTGCAAAAGAAACACTTCATTATCAGTTTCTGTATGAGCATTTCATCGTGTCAGTGCTACAAGGCCCTCACTGAAAGTTGCATTAACCCTCACCCTCCAGCCTACTTTGGCTAGAAACCCTGCCGGACACATCAGTCTGCAGCATTTGTCAAAGTGGCTTGCCTGCCCAGTGTAACAAGATCCAGCAGGTCTACTCTCCCCAAGGCCAAACAGCCTAGGGGTCTGTGGTTGCTAGTCACCACACGATCCAAAAGTGGCATTGTTCAATAGGACTAGCTGCCATTGTCTCTACATAGCCAGTGTGTGCCACTGCTGTTGATCGCCAAGTGCATCAAAGTGCATCAGACTTTTTCACCTGGTGCACTGTGCTGCATCTGGCAGGGTGAGGGTTGAAAGGTCCCTATGCAAAAGTACTAGTTCAAATGTGAAATTGGGTGACAAACTTTGTTGAAATTTAAGTATACTGGCCCCAGAAAACCAATTTAATAAATAAAAGTACAAGTGTAGTCTGTTTGCATTTCCTTCATGGTCAGAGTGAGGCCCGAAGAGTATTTCAGAAATAACATTTTTGCTGTAATGACCTTCCAGCACTGAGCCGATGATTTGTACTCCTCTGTGAACAGTACGCAGTTCATACTGATGTAAGTACTCTTCTGATCTGTGTGTCATGTGTTCCTCTCTATTCCTGACCGCAGTAACAGTAGCTTTCAAGAAGTCTCCCATGCAGACGTCAGTGAGAATGAAGGCACCGAAGACCTGAAATAAGAATGGACAATCTTCCCCAGACTTTGCCAAGCACGATGTGAATATTGGAGGTCATTGGACTGAGCATTGGAATAGGCACCCAACTATTTTCATACTTTCAAGAGATTCTCAGAATATTTGCAGTGCCCTATTATGTTGGGTTCATAGATGCTGCAAGTGTTCTCATTCATGTACAGCATAAAGGCTTTTTTGTGCTTTTTTTTCTAGAATTTGGACATACCCGCTATTATAAGCATACTGTGTATTGTAAATTTTGAATGTTATATTTTCTAGTATCTTTCTGTTACTTGTAAGATGTTGTCTTGCTAGATGTAAAGCTAGGGCCAGGATGAATTGAGCTGCAAGGCAGAATATTGATCAGTTAATGATTTGCATTTTAACAAAGCTGTGCGTTGCAAAGTCTTTAGCTGGAACATTTGTTTTTTGCTTAGCAACAGATTCTCTTCCACACAAACCTACCTTGAAGCTCCATTTATGCATTAAATGAGACTTGTTTGAACTTTCGTTAGAGTTTACAAGTGCATGGATATCGTTTTCAGTATGTGGAATTCCCCGGGGTAGGACCAAGCATAACATTCCATAACCCAGCTAAAGTGGAACTGTAAAATGTGTTTTATAATATGATGTTGATACCTGTGTCAAACCTCGTTAGTAAGAGCCATGTTAATACAAGATTCTGCTATATAACAAGGAAAATTGTTGGTCTTAATCCTTTGTTTGTTACTGTTTTCATTCCTGATAATGCAAGGTGCCTGTTCTAACAAGGTAATTTAAGTAAGTCCGAAGGACCTCTTAAAGAGGTTCGACTGTAATTGGTTTCCCTTTTCCGTAATAAGTCCTCCGTTTTGTGGATTCGGGACTCTTTATAATTTGTGATAGGTTTTGAGGTTATCAGTGATTTAAACTTCAAAATTAATTTTAAAAAATTATAAATCAATGATACCAGTATTCCAAAAATGAAAAGATGTAGAAAAATACAGAAGCTGTAGACCATTCATTTTTAAGTTGAGTTTGCAAGCTACTTATTGTCTAGAAGCATCACTGTTAGACAGTGAAATTACGTGCTGTGCAGAGAATTGTCCAAATTTTACTTTCACTACTTGATAGTTGCAGAGTGGGAACTTGTACAGGTGTTTTTCATCTTATGGGTAATGTACATTAAGTTGCTGAAGATGGTAAAAGAAGTTAAAGTGGAATTCATTGAGATAACTAAATATATTTATTCTGCATTTCTTTGTATTAAAGCAAGAGTGTAAAGTTTGGTAGAGCCTTGAAAAATCTTTCAGTTTATTTTGGTGAGGGGTTCTGCCGTAGAAAGGTGTCGTTTGTTGGAGAAATGCAAAAAAAAAAAGAATGTGTATGACTTATGTTTTGTTTTAAAAGTAACACATTCAGCCTTTTAAAAAAATCTAATTAATTGGGACTTACCCTAGTGAAGAGTAATTTTTTTTGCCATTATGTTAGATGCTGTGATAGCTCCATGCTTCGGTTACCTCACTTCTCTTTTAAATACCACTTGAATAAGTACATTCTGAGGTTTGATTTCATTACTAGATTTAAGAATAATTTGAGAAAAGCTGTTCTGAGGACGGATTCCACTGTTTTGGCCAACAGGGAGTAGTTCTTCTCCCTAGGTTTAGTACAGTATTTTTCCTTGTTGACTTTGCTGCAGACAGGTTTTCCTGGAATATTTTAGTGAGAAGATCGGCAGTAAGAATTGCTTTGTTCTCTGCTTGCTGCCTACCACAGATGACCTGTGATCAATTCTGGCCAGGGTCAGAACTACTGTTCAGTTATCTGTTCAGCATTCTAAATTAGAAATGCTTCTTTTCAACTCAAATAGGGGACATTTACTTATCCACCTATTCGGATAAAAGCAGACCGTTTTTTTCCTCATTCTGTTTAAAGGGATAAGGAATGTGAGAGGCTCTTGATTTGGATGAAAATAATCCCTTTTCGTTATGTCGTTTCTGACTTAAGAAACTTTCTTTGCAATCTGATGTATAAGTTATTAAGCAATCAATGATGAGATCTGCTTTTAAAGGTGATGGAAAATGCCCACGAAATATTTTGTGATGTAGTAGTAAACGTTGAGGAGTCATACCTGTGTTCAGAAGTTATACATGTATACATCACATGAGATTCTTTTAATCTTTAAATACGCTTTTATTTCTTAAATAATTTTTAGTATTTTATTTTTAATTGGTGACAACTGTACCGTAAAGGTGTGGGAAAAAAAAGTTTCATCACAGTCCTAGTCACAGCCATGGCTATTGTTGGCTGTATCTTCTGCCACACAGGGTTTCTATAATAGTAATAACAGATAATACCATGAAAATATGTAAGCTCTGAAAGAAATTAGCGTTCATGAAGGGGTCATAGGTCAGTAATGTCTCCCAAGATGCAGTCAGTTACTTAAAATGTTATTGAAGGTGAGAGTGGTTAGAGAGATGTATTGGTCATGTCACATGGATGCACTTGCTGCACTTGAGAATAAATTAAATACTGAAAGGTGGCATTGGGTTTACAGTGTCTGCATTGGGTACACCAATGACATGGCTAGAAGCTAAAATGTTTAATAACAGATGTAGATAATGCAACAAAATTTACAATTACTTTGTGAGAATTTCGCAAAAATATGCTGCATTCACCTAACACTCTCATAACTCAAATGTCGTATGTAAAAACTGATAATGTGTAATCAAAACAGTGAAGAATTAAATTGGCTTAAAGAATATTATTTATACTTGTGACTATGCACATTGTGTTTCTATCAGCTGTGTCAGCAAATTTTTTTTTTAAATTGAGAATAGATTCCCTAGCTTTTAAGTTGAATTTGGCCCAGTGGAGGTTTGACAGTTCCCTCATTTAACATGGTAATTTTGTTTGCAAAGTCTTGATATTAAAATTGCATGGTATTGCCCTCAACTTGTATTAAAAAAAAATTGGCTCAAAAGATACAGATTTTTTTACTCATTTACAACTTCTGCAATTCCATCCATTTCATAAATATGAAATTTCAGGTTGTACTGAGCGTGTTGCGTCCAATTTGAGGAAAATATTCATTCGATTTGCTTGAAGGGTCACATACTCGTAGTTTTTTTATATATTCATATTTTTTGGGGGGGCTGTCATTCATAACGACCTGCCTTCTGCTAGTTGGCACTTCAAACAGGACGAGTGAAACTGACGTCCTTTTGACATGTTTGTGTCCAAGGAAGGAGGGGGCGCAGTCTTCACCGCGCCGCCCGTGTTCCAAGCTCAGTGTCTTTTGCAATCTGCGCCAAGACCCCACACGTACATGTACAACCCATGCACACCATCATTACACAGTATACGGCCGTGGAGTGTCAAACCATCTGGGGGAATCTGGTGCCAAAACTCGAGACACTACGTCTTCAAGTCTGGGAGGATCACATGATTCGTCGCATCATATACATAAGCACGTATGCGTTTACAATAAGCTCTAGCCTAGAATTGCTACTAGGCCTAGGCCTACTTTTGAAGCCTATCCGATAAAGATATTTCACATAAGGGACTGCACGTATTTAAAAGACACACAGCTTTGGTGTACTTACACATTCACTTCCAGAAACATTTGTTAGCAAGGATATAAGCCCAAGGAATTTTGTTTACTTTTTCCACGCATAATTAATCTTTTAAACTTACAATGTAGCCTAACGGACATAAGCAGCGTACAATGTGTAAGTGAGAATGAGACGCTGTTATCGATTAGAATGGTATCGTATAACGCCAAAAGTACACGTGCTGTGCATGTACTTACTAGTCTACTTTACCTCTCTGGAAGTGTATACGTCCGTTTCAATGCTTCGACGAACTTCTTGAAGAGCGTACTTTGCCCGGAGGCTTTGGTTTCACGTTTTGAAGAGCCCATTTTCTTTGAGGATCCCCAATGTGTCACTCCCGATAGTGCATGTACTGCATTTTAGCGCGGGCGCGGGCCGGGACGGCGCAGAAGTCTCCGTATGACTATCTGCGCGCGCGTACAACAGTGTGGTGTATGGTGTACTATTTACGACAAACATTTCTTTCTCTCTTTAGCCTCCCTCCAGGCGACGCAACGACACGACGCGACGACGGCTCCCTTGCGTCGTGCCGTTGGGTCGTACCGTCGCCCTCTTGCCATTACTTTTGTACACACAAGACGCGTCGCGTCGTGCGTCGCGTCGTGCCGTCGCCCGTCGCGTCGTGCTGCCTTAGGTCCTTTCCATGTTGCATATTTTGGCCGCCTAAACGTCGCCCCTTCCGTCGCCCGTCGCGGCGTACCGTCGTGCGTCGCGTTGTACGTCATGTCGTGCATCGCGTCGCCTATTACGTCGCCTGAAGCACGACCCGACGCACGACACGACGCACGACGCGACGCGTCGTGTGCTGTCGCCCTTTGGTTCATGGTGTTTATAGAGGGCGCCTTTACTGTTTTATTTCATTTCTGTCCCCCGTGCTTGCACAGTACATGCTATTTACTCTTTGGTGTTGATTTGTTCTTGTTTTTATCTCATCCATTCCTCGATTAGGATTAATTTCTGTCATATTTTATTAAGAAAATGAAAAAAGAGCAAAAAGAAAATCGGCATATGTAGGAACTTCTCTGATTTCTAAGTAGTACTCCCAATTCTCTAGACAATTTGTCTAACAATTGCACGGCTGCAAGTTTCACTACGGGTTTAGGGAGTTACTACCGAGCCCGATCAATGGCTAGGGAAGTTATCAGCTCCTTCTCATGGACTCTTGTGGCTGGTTGCCAGTTCTGCTACCAACTGCCCACATGCACTGTCAAGCAACCCACACAAATTGTATGACCTAATTCTGGGGGAGTTAGGATTTCAAAAAGTGGTGGAGCAAAATCAATTCTATTACATAATTATTAGGAAGATCAAAATTAGAGCAGGAAAAGTTAAAACGACTTTGTGGCTCATGTTATTTATTTCCTGGAGACAAGGCTGATAGTTGGTCGTGACGCTCTTTCCGATCACATTTGATTAAAAAATCAAACCTTTTCTTCAACAACTCACTATTCATGAAAACACAAAGTTAGAAAGTAACTTAATATGCATGAAAAAGTACAATAACAGAAACAAGACCTGCTACCTATTCGCTCTTTGTACGCTACCGCCATAGGCGTGCAGAGCCTCGATCTGGCAGCTTTTTCCGTGTATGTTGGTAAGTATTTTTGGGCATGATGTTGCGTTAGTTCTTCTACCATCTATACTATACGATGGGACAATATTTCAAAAACTGTCAGTTCAAGGCTCTGTGTGCCCATGGCGGCAGCGTACAAAGAGCGAATGCCATGTCCTGGGTGCATGCAGTCCACTATTCAAGTAAGAATTTCTGCTCAGCTCATTAGCATTAAAAGTAGCAGCCTAGCATTTTTCTGGTAAAAAGGAGGTTGTTTGGCCCCCGAAATGGTGAGATCGTGGGAATCGTTGCCGGGATCAACTGCTTGGGTCTTTGAGCTATCCTATGACAGCAGAATGGCTAAAAATTACAACTGAAAAATGGTCCTAAGTGCCCCAAAAGGTTGAGGGTTACTACTTGAAAATGGCTGCAATCAGACTTCGGAAAAATCACTTTTCGGAGATGATTTTGTTTTGTGGGAATAATTAAAAATGTAATTGGTTAGCCCACAATAAATTGAAAGGAAATAATCGACAGATTAGGGACCAGACAATAATTTTATTTGTGTTTACGCAATCTCAAGGATGTCGGTTAACATGGTTTTGGGCCCTGAACAGTGCCAATTTTACAATGTTTTCAATGGGGCTTGAATTAGTGGACTGTACCCTACTATTCAAGTACCGGAGGCGGAAATGAAAGAAAACAGTAAAGGCGCCCTCATGAAGCAAGGGCAACAGCACACGACGCGCCGCGTTGTGCGTCGTGTCGTGCGTCGCGTCGTACTTCAGGGGACGTAATAGGCGACGTGTTGCACGACACGACGCACGACGGTACAACGCAACGGGCGACGGAAGGGGCGACGTTTAGGCGGCAAAAATGCAACATGGAAAAGACCTGAGACGGCACGACGCGACGGGCGACGGCACAACGCGACGCACGACGCGACGTGTGTGTACAAAAGTAATAGCAAGAAAGCGACGGTGCGACCCGACGGCACGACGCAAGGGAGCCGTCGTGCCATATAGTTGCGTCGCCTGGAGTGAGGCTAGAGAGAGAGAGAGAAATGTTTGTCGTAAATAGTGCACCATACTACAGATCGAGCAGACATTTTACACCAACTTTCTTGCCTCGGTCATGATAACACATTTTCAAGCTCTCTTTAAAGAGGCTTTGAAAAATTAGTTTATTTAACAGGTAACAAACAGATGTCATTTTACCGAGTCAGTATTTTTCTTAAGCTTCTTGAAACAACCACTAACACTAACCGGTTTGTAAGTGTGACTTCAATTTAAACCACGCCCACCGCACACGTGCGCTACATTGATTACGTGAACCATGGAACCGGAAGTTAACGCGCAACTTCAGCGATCGTCCAATGGGAGCCAGTAAATCGTGGCACGTCTGCCTTTGTGACGAGGTCACTTACGAATTGCTACATATCCAACACATGTATGAATCGTTTGTTGTCCTAGTTCAGGGGCCACGTTTACTCCAGACTATGGGTACAAAGGGAGCTTTTCCTCAAATAAGCGAGGACAATTTTAAAAATCCATTGAAACATTGAAAAATAAAGACAAAGGGTATGAAGTTCCTATGAAAATACCGAGTATCACCCCCTCCCACAAACACAGAGTCTGCAGTTGAGTGTATTATCCGGAGAGAACTATGCTCCTTCCTAGCCACGCCCATACTCCCGACTGATTTGAAATGGCTTTCGTGGAATTTGAACATTTAAAGAACCACCTACTTAATGGCCTGTTCATAGTCCCATTCTAAAGTATTCCGTTCTTTCAATTCTGAACTAAAAGATCCAGCTTTGACTTTTCTATCAAACATACATTTCTGACACAAAAGTAAGTAAGACACGGCTACTGTTTTTATAGGTTTCATTTCAACTTTATTTACTTCCAGTATAGAACATCAAGTGCTCTTGACAAGAACCTCAATCCCAACGTCAACCCCTTAAGGAGAACGTGACCAGTATCTAACTAGCCTTGCAAACCCATCTCCCCTTCCCAAATTTCATAATTTCTTGCACATCTTCTTATAATGTATCTGACGTTGAAAGAAAAATATCAGGCTTGGGTTATGTTGTTCATTTGTGAAACGGTTCTTATTCTGGTTTTGATTTTCCTTTTTGGACTGTAACTACGCCCTTTACTTGACTCCAAGTATCTTTGTCGTCTAGGGGATTGTGTATGTCACTGAATGCTTGGTTTCTAGCCTGTGCTCACTGGAAAAGAAAGAAAACTCCAGGTGTAAGAGAAGGGAAGGAGGGTCTTGGCAGTAGATGGCTTCGGTCCAGTCTAGTTCCAGTCCTGGTTGCCAGAACCGCCCCAGTCACCAGCATTGGGGGCTGCCGAGGAGGCAGACCAGTCCTTGCTGGCCGTGGGGTCTGGGGCGGCAGCCCAGTCGTCCGTCGGGTAGCTGGACTGCATGGCCACTCCAGGCACTGTCATGGACTCGGCCGCCCACTGTGGAAGAGGAGGGAGAGAGACGATGGAAGAGATTTCCCAGGTTAGAATGTCATCTGGGCCTAAATGTATGGCTGAGCTCGATCAGCGACCTTCACTCAACAGCTGACTGATTTACCTAGTAGATTACATATGTACAGATTACCAGGGAAAAATCGACCAGCAGCCGACTAATAATTGCTCATTGAACTTGCCAAATGATGCAGTGTGGCAGAGACATTTGCTGAGAACACAAAAATACTAGGTGTGAAGCCATTCAGTTTTCAATTAACCCTAACCCCTAGTGTATGTGTAAAATCACATTGAAATCAGAGGATTTGGGACTGTTAGGGCTATAAAATGAAATTCAGTACTTGGAGGTGAAGAGAAATGAAATAAAAAAAGAAAATAATTCAATTCAAAAACAAAAATTTCATTATACATGTAAAAGCATCTTTTGATGTGTTACATGTAAACGTACAAGCTGCAGAATGGATACGCAAAACACTGATGGCCCACAATAACTTCCTTTCAACCTGTGTCTTTTACTTCCTGTAATCAAAGAAGCTTTTTCAAATATTCTTTTACTTGAACTGACTTGACCTTTCAAAGCCATCAAACTTTCTTTTATTACTGTCATTTTGGCACCTGGCCACAATCTGCTACTCACGTCGGTAACCTTGACGCCACCTGTCTGGTCTTGTGGCACGGCCGCTGGTATGGCCGGTACCTCTCCGCCCCACTGCTCCTGGTAGGGGGCCTGCGGCTCCTCCTTGGCCTGTGCCTTCTCTCGAGCCTCCTGCTCCTCTTTCTCGGCCTGAAAACGAACATTGACAAACACAAGATGAGCTGTGTGATGAGAAATTTATCTTTTGTTGCGGAAAAGGATGGACAATGTTTTCATAGTACTGTAGCTTTGGGCAAGTTGCAGCAACGACTGCATTTAAGTACAGTCTGACTGATGACATAAGAATGGATGGTCGGACTACTTTGAACCGTGCCCTGGGACATGGTCACATCGCTGGTTACCAACAGGCCTTTTGGAAGTTGAAGTACAGAGAGAACTGCTAGCATGAAAATGGATGTATGAGATAGCAGAGACCATGAACCCTACACGAGAGTACACCGACGGCAAAATGTGGGAGACAATGGGACATCGAAAAATAAGTTGGACAATGGCCAATCAAGTGGGATGGCACTGCACATGCAGATTGGTAAGAAATTATAGGAGCAACTGATTGGCTGTCAAACTACAGTTTCCGCCCAACCTTGCCCTAACCTTTAACAACACTAACCACTTGATACTGGATGACGTGTAAACACGCACGTTTTTCCTTATTTGTTCCACGGAGGACGTGTATACTCATTTAAGAGTTCCTTTTTCATTTCTGCAGTGGACATATTAACGCGTCCCGCTTGGTTGGGTCAAAGCGCAATTGCAAGGTTGAAGAATTTGCTGGTAAAAACCCTGCCCCCAAGCACCTTTTGGGGGTAAGAAAATCTGACATTAACCCTCCTATGCTGAAGTCACTCTTGGATCACTTGGTAAATACCTCAAAGAAGCAAAGCTGTGTCGTGTTGTGCACTGCACCAACATGCAACAGAGTGACCTTGGGCACTCGTGCATATCTGTGCTGTAAATCTACTGGAGGGTTAACTGGCTAAAAAATGGGGGCCTCCCCAAATCTTAGGCTCTATCTTTGCCAATGAAAACGCTCGTGGGCCTAGCCTATAACATTCGAGCTAAAGAAGAAAAATCTTTCCATATTTGGAAAAGCAGCTTAATATTCTTCTTGCAATGCAAGAGTTCTGTATTGATCTATGAACTCCTGGGGAGAGATAAAATCAGTCAAAGCCAAAGGTGATCACAAGCTTTGGATGACCCCCTCACGTTTCACTTCCCAATATCCTCACCTCCTCTGGATCCCTGTAGAAGTAGAGATCCACCATGATGTCCCAGGGAATGTCACGGCTGATGGTTCCCCGCAGCCGCAGGACTTCCCGGGCCAGAAGGTACCACATCAGGCCAATGGACTGGGCACCCTGTCACATATAATACATGCACAATGGTTTGAGTCGTTACCCACTGCAATGCAACACAAAGTCACCTAGCCACAGCCTCCAAAAAAAATTTTGAAATGCAAGGTTATACAAATAAATCAAGTACAAGAACTGTGGTCATTTCATTGTGGAACTTCAAGTGGCAAAGGCTATTAGTGTTTTGTCGCACAACACACACGTGCAGTAAACTTGAAAGCCTCGCCTTATGGTGACCTTCTTATGCCGGGGGGAAAATTCCTCCCCAAAGATCTCAGACACACAACCACCAATCTTTTGGCAAAGTGGTATTCATGCCAAGGCGTTCTTCATAAATGTACAAATCTTGGAAATTTTAATTCACCGTGATGCAGGCTTTTAG